GCGGGAGTTCCTGCAGAAGCTGGACGACTCCGTGGGGGGGGGGGGGGGGGGGGGGGGGGGGGGGGGGGGGGGGGGGGGGGGGGGGGGGGGGGCGAGGGGCTCGGGCGCGCCCTCTGCGCTCACATGCGCGCGCTCCAAGCCGACACACGGCCCGGCAGGCGGGGGGAGGGGGACACGCGTGGCCGCGGCGCCGCATAGCTGCATAGCTGCTGTGCATAGCACACCCCGCCGCCCCTTCCGCTCACGTCCCGTCCCCCCTCTTTCGCCCCGGCTCCTCGGGGGGGGGGGGGTAGCCGAGGGGCCCACTACCACCACCACCACCACCACCACTGTCACCTTAGGGCCCCCTTGAGGCGGGGGGCGCGGGAGCAAACGCTCCGCCCTCCCTCCCTCCTGCCCCCTCTGGGGCGGCGGTGGGGGGCGCCATGACACCCGGCCAGGGGCGGAGCGGCTCGTCGCCGGGGGGCGAAGGCCGGGGAGCGCTGGCGGGCATGTAACCGGGACTGGCACCCTGGGGGGGGCGGGGCGGGGGGGGCGGGGGCCGGCTCCCCCCGCCCAGCAATCGGCGCAGGCGGAGGGGATGGAGATCGAAGTCGCGGGGGGGCTTCGGCCCGGCCACGGTGGGCCGAAGCCCCAAAGGTTCGCCGAAAATGAGTCAGGCCCGCATAGCCCCCCCCCCCCTTGGCCTACCGCTGTGTGTCCGTGTGCGTGGGTGTATGCGTGGCTCGCTGCCGGGCGGGGCGGGGGAGGCCACAGGGCCTCCGTTCCGTGCGCGTGCATGCCCTTCGCACAAGGGCCCTTCGCATTCGGCCGAGGCGCCGGCAGAGGAGCGGGTCGCACGGTGGCCGAATAGGGGGGGGGGGGGACTATCCGAGGAGAGATCGGCCGGCCACGACCGCAGAGGAGGCGCCCCGCCCATTAGCCTCTCTCCACCACCCAAAGAGGAGAGTGACCACCGGAAGGGGGAACGGCCGAGGGAGACAGGCCGGCGCAGGGAGCGCGTGCCGCGGCCCCGGCCCGGGGTACTCTGCGACCGGTCGCCCCCCCCCCCCGCGCGCGCACGCGCGCCAGGGCGTGCGTCTCGGCCCGGCCCGGCCCGGGCGTACGTCCGATCCTCGGCCGGATGCCCAAAAGGGGCGGGGAGACAGGGCGAAACGCGGCACGGCGAGAAAGAGCAGGGCCAGCACGGTCTGGCTCCCCGCCTCGCGGCGGGCAGGCCCTCCCCGGTCCGGGAATACGCGCGTGCGCCCGCTTCGGAGGGAGCGCTCATTTGACCGTGCGGCCGCCGGGGGGGAGGGAGGCAGGGGGCAGCTGGCGCTTTTTCGGCTGGGGGGCGGCGGGCCGGCAGGGGGCGGGCGCGCCCGCCGGACCGGCCTGGGGCCCGTGCACGCCCGGGGGTGGTTCGTACGGCGGATCCCGTCATGCGGGACCCAGCAGCGACGGCGCCCCGCCGAGCCGCCGCGCTCTTGTCTCTGCTCGGTGGCCAGGCATATGGGGGGGGGGGTACGCGTGCGCATGCATGCATGCACGCACGCACGACGCCCCCGGAAGTGAGCCATCCTGCCGCGGGGGTGCCGCCAAAAGACGAAAGGCGAGACGCATGTGTGACCGCCCTCCCCCCCCCCCCCCGCTTCGGGAACGAGAGGGGGCGAGGGGGCGAGGACTCCGGCTGCCCGCTGTTCCCCCCTCCGCGGGGGAAACCGTTAATAAATAAAATGGCCCCCCCCCGGGGGGGGGGGGCGCGGACGCGCATTTCTCTCGCAAGCGCCGTCCCGCCGGGGGGCTGGTGCATCCGCACGCGCGTAAGCATGCACGCGCAAAAGTACACACGCACGTACGCACCCCCCCACCCACCTACAGGGGCCAACCAGAAGGGCGGGGTCGGGCAGGGGGTGCCGCCCCCCCCCGCCCCCGCCCCCCCGCCCCCGCCCCCACCAAGAACACCCGGACGGCGTGACCCCTTCTTCACCTGGCAGTCTCCCGGGGGGGGAGGGACCGCGCAGCGGGGCTTCTACCAGACCTCGGAACCCCTCCGGGGGCGGCACGGGCGGCGCGGGTGGCAGCCAGCACACAGGAAGGCAGACCGCCGCGCGCGCCTCCCCTCCGGTTGAGAGAAAGAGAGAGAGAGAGGGGCAGCGCGGGACCGAGGCTCAGGGGCGGCGGACGGTTTTCTCTTAGTCCCGTCGGGGACGCGCGCGCGCGCGCGCACTCGCCTCCCCC